GAGGCACGGACTAGTTGTCACACAGTTAATCCACAGTGGAGCTAGCGATGCCAAACCCAGGCTCTGTACCCTGACACCGAATAAAATCTCAGAGACAGAGTTTGGGGTGAAGTAGAAAAGAACAGCTTTATTGCTTTGCCAGGCAGAGGGGGCCACAGCGGACTAATGCCCTCCAAACTGCGTGTCCCGCCCTGGAGGGGGTCGTGAGGAGTTTTATAGGAATGGTTCAAAGAGGGCGGTCAGCTTGCGGACATTCTTCTGATTGGTTGGTGGTGAGGTCATCGGGAGTCAGCGTCATCAACCTTCTGGTTCCAACCGGTCTGGGGTCTGTGTGCTTGTGGGCAGCAGACAATTAAGTTCTCCTGCCCGGTGGGAGCTTCAGAATCTGCAAAACAGCTCAAAGATATTGTTCTGTGTGTCCCTTGAGGGGAACCAGGACCCTGCCCCAAGGCTGTACTATTGTTTCTTAGCTGCTGCTCCCTTGTCTCCGCATCCCCTCCCTTCCCTGATTAGCCGCTGAACCTGCCTGTTGGAACTCAGGGAAGGTCATGGAGGCTGAGTGGAGGCCATTTCCCATAATCAAGAAATGGGGGACACAGAAAGGCTTTTGTGCCCAGGAGCCCCACAGGGTCCTGCTCGGTTTCACTAGGGGTCCACACCCAGGCATGCCCTGCATCGCAATGACTCTCAGAAGTGTGGACCAGAAGGGGGCAGGTCAGAGGACAGAGGAGAAACGAGGAGCAGGAAAGCTCCTCGAAAGCAAGGTCACCTTGGGAACTTGAGGTGACCAGTGACCCGGCCCATTCTAATTCTGATCCCACTGTTTGCTGAGACGGGTTTGGGATGAGTAGACAAGAAAGTGTCAGCTTCTTCAGGGGGTACTGAAAGGTGGCTCTGTCTGTCCCTTCTGCTCATCCTGCATCCATCCCATCATCTCCAGCAGGAGCTGTGGAAGTAAAGGAAGACCCACCAAATGAGAACAAGCAAGGGCTCTTCATTCAGAGGTTGCTTTAGCACAGGAGTCGACTGCCATCCCTTGGGCTCCGCAGAGACTCAAAGGCAGGCAGGGAAGCAGGACAGCTTCATGGTGGTAGGAGGAGCCTCAGGGTGCTCTGATGGAGGCTGTGGGCGCCAGGGAGCTGGAAGCGGGGCTCCTGTGTGATCAGTTAGGGGTGCATATTGGGATTTCTTTGTCTTCCTGCAAGCCTGACGTATGGATGGTAGGCTGGTTCCTGGGCTGGCCACTGTAGGTAACGGGTTTGTCTCCTGGGCTGGCTGCTGAAGATTTGGTCAGCGTTCTAATTTTTTTTTTTTTTCTGGCCATGCCGCTTGGCATGCAGGATCTTAGTTCCCTGACCAGGGGTCGAACCCATGCCCCCTGCAGTGGACCTGCAGAGTCCTAACCGCTGGACCGCCAGGGAAGTCCCCCAGTGTGCTGATTTTATATACGGTCTTGCTGTTGTCCATTTGTATATTCAATCTCTCGAAGCTAAAGGAAAAGATTTATCACTGGAGACATTGATTTCCTCCAGCATCTTTTGCCTCAGGTGGGGAAGCACTCTTTAAATCAGTAGTTTTCAGCCAAGACTGCACATGAGGACCACCTGGGAGATGAAAGGAACCACCAATTCCCAGGGCTTACCCCAGGCTGCCTAAGTCAAAATCTCTGAGTGTGGCTTAGGCCTCAGTAGGTTCTAAAACCTGTTCAGAGCATTCAATTACTGCCAAGAACAAGAACCACTGCTCTGAAGGTGAAACATGGCGGGAAAGACTCCCTCAAATGTTAATGTGCAAACAAACCACTTGGGGATTTTGTTTAAAGTGTGGACTCCGATGAAAGAGGTGAACTTTGTTTCTGCCTGTCTAACAAACTCCCAGGTAGGCTGAGGCTGTAGGTCCTCTGGCCCCACTTTACATACAAATAACCAGCATTCAGCTCAGAAAAGGAATAATTAAAGGGCAGTTATGGATGGATCTTTCCACTCACTGGGAAAGTCTACCTGGAGCTGCTGTAGCCAGTGAGATGTAGAAAAATCAGCAGTGAGGCATCTGGAGCTTTGAGTTTTGTCTCTTGGGAAATAGAAAAACAAAACAAAAAATAACCCATGTGTATGTTCCTGGGTATGCAGCATAAACTTTCCAAGCCTCAGCTTCCTAATATACTATATAAGTGGTTTGTACTAGATAATCTTTTTTCAATTGAAGTAGAGTTGATTTACAATGTTGTGTTAGTTTCGGGTGTACAGCAAAGTGATTCAGTTATATATACATATATATCTTTTTTTTTCAGATTCTCTTCCCTTATAGGTTATTACAAAGTATTGAGTATCGTTCCCTAGATAATCTTTATAGAATAAAAATCGTGGTAATTAACACTTTAATGCTTGCTGTGTGCATAAAATATGCTAGCATTTTACTGTGAGAAGCATATAAGATAATAAACGTAACCTTGTTAGGATTGCCAGATTAAATACAGGACACCCAGTTAAATATCGGATTAGCAACAAATAAATGATTAGTTTAATTATGCCCCATGCGACATTTGGAGTATTCATAGCTTATCTGAAGTACTAACTTAACAGGGCATCCTGTATTTTTATCTATTAAATCTAGCAACCTGAAAAGGTCTTAGACCCATTTCACAGATGAGGAGACCAGGAAGTAAGGGAGGAGTTGGTACTTGAAGACACAGAGTCCCCCTCTTAAGCCCAGACTCTTAGCTGCTGGCTCACCCCGCTGGGATGATACTACTAGTTGAGGCTTAGTCACACCACCACGGGACAGGAGACATTAGGAAGCAGATGAAAACAGGAACATCGTTACCTGCTTGAAGGCATTGGCACGGAGGTTTACTTTGTTCATGACTTTGTTCATCAGCCTCTCCTTGTTTGTAACAGGTCAACCTCACTGCCCGGCTTTCTCACAGCAATGGTCAGGACGGGACCCGATGGAGGAAACTTCTTCTGTCTAAGTCGGGGTCTGGGTATCGCTCCACCTCTCTTTAACCCTCCATCTGCCATTTCAGAAATGGGGCCCTTCTTCTCCTGGATTTTGTTGCATGCTGAGCACAATATAAGCCTCTTAGTTGGGGGAACTTTTACTTAAGATCTTGGAAGGCACAGTTTTCCCTTGAACTGACTTCCTTTAGGAGATGCGTGTCTTCTGTTGTATAAAGGCAACACCAGGATTCGGACTTGTCTTTGTGATCCTGTATCCGACTTCCTTTCCTACTCACATTCAGTGTCCCACCCCTCACCCGAAAATGAACCCAAACTGCACCCTCACTTGCCAAAACCATTGCCCGTAGGACCTCTGCCTCCTCTCTGCTACACCTTGCTTCTTCCCTGGGTTCCAGCAGAGACCTCGCCCCGATGCTCAGGTCTCCCATTCCTTCCTGCTAAAATTAAGAGGGCTGGGACTCATGGTCTGGGTGCAGGAAGGTTCCAACCCTTTTTAGAAAAGTGTCTCTCTTCTGTGACCTTGCTCTGGCTGTTCCCCCACAATAAACCCTGGGCTAGAATGCTCTCTCCACTCCTTCATTTGTTAGAGGAGGCTCTGAGGGAATGTGGATGGCTTTAGGGGTAGTCTTTCTGGTCATCTCAACAAGCCATTCTCCAGCCGTCCCCAAGTCTGGAAGAATATCATCTACCAGCCTTGGAGTAGGAGCCCAGGGTCTCGACAACATGGCGGCCTGATCTGACCTCGCTTCCACCTCCAACTAATGTGCTCTTGCCTTAGCCCTTGTGTGGGGGGCTTCGCACATTTATGGATGTGCTTTGTAAACTCTGAAACACCCTTAAATCTAAGTTCTGTTCACTGGATCTCCATCTTACTTAGCCAAGGCAGCCATTGCCAGGCCCCTGCAGTACATCTCAGGGTCACTGAAAGCCAGGTTTGGTTAGAACTTAGTAGCCAGGTCGGGACCTGGGACACCACCCTGCCACCTGCCAACAGGTGGATAAGAGACCCGCCTCTCACCTCGCCCACGTCCCAACAGCACTGAGTAATTTTACCTATTAAGTTATCACTTAATAATGAAAGAAAAACTCCCCGAGAGAAAATCTTCTGCTTCCAGAATTATTCGGCAAAGATAGGGACCCACTTTTCTAGACAGGATACAAACTGTCACTTGTGAAGTTAATTGGGACAGCATCTGTGGACAGTGGATTTTAGAAGTGGCCTATAGCATTGTCAAAAAGAAATCCCCAGCCCTTCAAATTAATTATTCACCTATTTGTAATGGGAAGCACCTGCTTTCCATTACATACTAAGTGAGCAGGAAGGAGAGGTTTACCACAGTGGATTAAGGTTAACGGTGGGAAAAAGGCAAAACCTGTGTCCAGATTTGTCATTGAGGGAGGAAGGGAGACCAGAACAGCCACGAGCCCAGTAGTGTTGGCATTACAGGTAAATCACAGGGAAGGGGACCCTGGGGGAAGGCAAAAATTATGAGGAAATCCAGTCAGAGGATGGGTGTCCCAGCTGGGGAGTGGAGAAGGGTTTAAATAAATTCCAACAGGCAAATCAGTGGTCCATGTCAGGAATCTGGGACTGGACTTGGGGCTCAGAGATGATGTGGAGCTCCCAGTCTTGGAGTCCTAAAGACATCCCTGACCACGTGAAACCAGAAGATGCAAACCTACTAAAATGAAATTAACACCTACTTGACAGCCAATAGCTATTTTTAGAAGACTGAGCCCCCAAATAATGATTTCACCGGATACAGAAACTGTGTTTTCCTATCATTCTGCGAAGGAGTTTTCCTTCTCATCAGAGGACTGTTCTTCAAAGTGAATCACGTTCATTTTCTCTTCCAAGTTCAAGTGTGTAAGAACGCAGGCAAGTCATGGCTGTTGATACTTGGACTTCATTAGCAGCAGAAATACTTTCCAAATAGTTGAAGGACAACAGTTTTTTTTATTATTGTCACCAGGAACTTCTAAAAGGAAATCAGCCGCATGAATTGTAATTGTAGCTCCACTTTTCTCCTCCTATTCTAGAATCAAAGAAGAACTTTGGGGAGTTCATCCTGTCAAAGTTGAAATGGCTGATGCTACTCTGAATGCCCGTTCCAAATTCAATTTAAAGGTAAACGTTAAACATAAAATTATTTGGTTTTGAGCTGGTAATATAAATTTTGGTAGAGCAGAGTCACATTGTAAAGGCAATTTTACTAAATGAAGGAAACTGTGACAGCTTCTATTTGGACTGGTAAAATATTGCAACTTATTTGGGTGTATGGCCAGTATGGGGGGCAGGGTGTAGGGGAGAGAGAGGGGTGGGGAAAGAATAACTGAACTGCAGTATTTTTTGAGAAAAATCTGACTTCGGATACAATAAAAATACTTTAGCACGGCAGCGCGCGCTTTCTCTTTTTGAAGCTGCCGTCAGATGGCAGAAATGTGTGAGCCTTTGAAATACTTCAATATAAACAACCTAAGCAATGGTATTAAACTCGTTTTTTTAGTACTAAATGAATCCGCTAAATTTTGACTTCATGTTTTTCAAACTCAGGTGGAACGCTTTTTATTCAAAAAAATGTCAATACCTGATACGACAAGAGTAACTTTAGATTTGACACCGTTCAGTGAATTGTAATTATTCAGGAAGGAGGCACTGAAACGCACCCCTTCAAAAGCAAGGAGGCTGATAAATTAAATGAAAAAATCCCAAATAGTCTGAAAATTTTAATTGGAAATTACATAATTGCATTTTGGAATGTCTCAACCTTTTAAATTGATAAATTACATTCTGTAGTGGAATAGAATAAAATGGAGAAGGTCAATGATTTTTAGCATCCAAATTTGACAGTATTGTAAACAATTCTGTATGGTTTAGTCCTGTAAACATTATTTTTGAGAAAATCTAGTATAAATAGAGGCAATAAAAAGCACCTGTGAACATATTTGATATTTCTGCTGATTTAAAAAATGAATAGGACTGAGAATATCCTCCACTTAGCAGGATTTGTTCTGTGATCACTAGGGCCTCAGGGAAGACTTGAGAATCTCCAGGCCTGTCCAGTTCCTATACTGGGAACAGTAACTAATATCTTACAATTCAAAGCCCATTCAGGTTAAATTAAGCAGCTCAGCCTCAAATACATGAAAATTAAACTGTTTGAGTTGGATGTGCTGGAACACTTAAGTGAACGACGATCAATAATCACACTCCCAGGACGATTGATTAGACTGCTTGGTGATGAATTTTGTAAGTTACTCATTCTTGTAATCTACCAAGAAGAAATTTTATTCAAACCGAGTCAGTAAAATCAGTAAATAAATTAACAAGGAGAAGCTGATTAAGGCATTCCCTTAGACATCTTCGGCATGTGTGCGAAGGTCCCATCACATGGAAAAGACTATTTTAATCTGAAAAGTGGAGAGTGCATTACTTTTAAGTCCTGCAGATCCCCCTGCAGCCCACTGGGTCTCTACCTGACTAATTTTACTCACTGGAATGACAGCTCTTCCTGCAGCGTGCATGGTATTGAAAACACAAGACTCACATTAATGAACCCCGATGAATGTGCTGCAGGCACTTGCTAGAGAATTCAGATCTGAGTAGATGGAAATCCATGCCTGCCAAGGCTCACTTGAGACATCTGATAGCTGAGAAAGGCCATCTAATGCCCAAGTTCACTAACAGTCTAATAGGGTTTTTTATGTCCTTTTGCTACAGGAAGCCAGAATGTTAGATTGCAACGAACACAGACAATTATAACCAGTTTCACAGGCAACTAAGATAAATTCGTGGTGGGCTTACTTCCACTTGAACAAGACGTATGCATGTTTTCTAAAACTGTATTTAAATGCATTGTCTATTCTCTTACCAAGGATTCTCTGACTCATCCCCATTTGAATTCAATAACGGGAAAAAGCTTGATAAATAAACCAGAATGTTTGCCTTCAGAAAGTAGCAGAAATATAAATCAATGCCTTTCTCTTTTGCCTTGGTAACAAGAAAGGTAAGAATACGGTCAATTAACAGAAGGCAAAAAAGTTCTAACAGGACAATAAGAGAATTATTATAATTTTTAAATGTTTTGTATTCTACACTGTGCTTAATTTTGAAGATGTCTCAAAACTGTTTCAACACCAGATGGAGTATAAATTCTAGTGAAGATACAGAAACAAACAGGATAATGGGCAAAATAAAAGTTTTGCAAGCTTGTTCTGGTTGTTATATTTTGGTATCAAAGGCTTGAGGGATTAGAGGAAATGTTTGCCTTCTCAAATCTTTTCTGGTCCAGTTTTCTTCAATGGATATATTTATCTGTGTATCCATCTGAAATAAAGATAGGCTTCTGGAATTGAATATTAATTCTTCAAGATATATTTCTTATTTTTAACATCTTTATTACAGTATAATTGCTTTACAATGGTATGTCAGTTTCTGCTTTATAACAAAGTGAATCAGTTCTACATATACATATGTCCCCATATCTCTTCCCTCTTGCGTCTCCCTCCCTCCCACCCTCCCTATCCCACCCCTCTAGGTGGTCACAAAGCACCGAACTGATCTCCCTGTGCTATGTGGCTGCTTCCCATTAGCTATCTATTTTACGTTTGGTAGTGTATATATGTCCTGCCACTGTCTCTCTTTGTCCCAGCTTACCCTTCCCTCTCCCCATATCCTCAAGTCCATTCTGTAGTAGGTCTGCATCTTTATTCCCGTCTTGCCCCTAAGTTCTTCTGACCATTTTCTTTTTTCTTTTTTTTTAGATTCCATATATATGTGTTAGCATACGGTATTTGTTTTTCTCTTTCTGACTTACTTCACTCTGTATGACAGTCTCTAGGTCCATCCACCTCACTACAAATACCTCAGTTTCATTCCTTTTTATGGCTGAGTAGTATTCCATTGTATATATGTGCCACATCTTCTTTATCCATTCATCTGTCAGTGGACACTTAGGTTGCTTCCATGTCCTGGCTATTGTAAATAGACCTGCAATGAACATTTTGGTACATGACTCTTTTTGAATTATGGTTTTCTCAGGGTATATGCCCAGTAGTGGGATTGCTGGGTCATATGGTAGTTCTATTTTTAGTTTTTTAAGGAACATCCATACTGTTCTCCATAGTGGCTGTATCAATTTACATTCCCACCGACGACAGTACGAGAGGGTTCCCTTTTCTCCACACCCTCTCCAGCATTTATTGTTTGTAGATTTTTTGATGATGGCCATTCTGACCGGTGTGAGGTGATATCTCATTGTAGTTTCTATTTTTTTTTAAACATCTTTATTGGAGTATAACTGCTTTACAATGGTGTGTTAGTTTCTGCTTTATAACAAAGTGAATCAGTTATACATATGCATAAGTTCCCATATCTCTTCCCTCTTGCGTCTCCCTCCCTCCCACCCTCCCTATCCCACCCCTCTATGTGGTCACAAAGCACCGAGCTGATCTCCCTGTGCTATGAGGCTGCTTCCCACTAGCTATCTATTTTATGTTTGGTAGTGTATATATGTCCATGCCATTCTCTCACTTTGTCACAGCTTACCCTTCCCCCTCCCCATATCCTCAAGTCCATTCGACACAGACCTCATTGTAGTTTTGATTTGCATTTCTCTAATGATTAATGATGTTGAGCATTGTTTCGTGTGTTTGTTGGCAGTCTGTATATCTTCTTGGAGAAATGTCTATTTAGGTCTTCTGCCCATTTTTGGATTGGGTTGTTTGTTTTTTTGATAGTGAGCTGCATGAGTTGCTTGTATGTTTTGGAGATTAATCCTTCGTCAGTTGCTTCATTTGCAAATATTTTCTCCCATTCTGAGGGTTGTCTTCTCGTCTTGTTTATGGTTTCCTTTGCTGTGCAAAACCTTTTAAGTTTCATTAGGTCCCATTTGTTTATTTTTGTTTTTATTTCCATTTCTCTAGGAGGTGGGTCAAAAAGGATCTTGCTGTGATTTATGTCATAGAGTGTTCTGCCTATGTTTTCCTCGAAGAGTTTTATAGTGTCTGGCCTTATATTTAGGCCTCTAATCCATTTTGAGTTTATTTTGTGTATGGTGTTAGGGAGTGTTCTCATTTCATTCTTTTACATGTAGCTGTCCAGTTTTCCCAGCACCACTTATTGAAGAGGCTGTCTTTTCTCCACTGTATATTCTTGCCTCCTTTATCAAAGATAAGGTGACCGTATGTGCGTGGGTTTATCTCTGGGCTCTCTATCCTGTACCATTGATCTATATATCTGTTTTTGTGCCAGTACCGTACTGTCTTGATTACTGTAGCTTTGTAGTATAGTCTGAAGTCAGGGAGCCTGGTTCCTCCAGCTCCGTTTTTCTTTTTCAAGATATATTTCAAATGTTATGTCCTCCACAAAAAATTCCAGATTCATCCCACAGTGATTCTTCTGGCTTGGGGCATTGTGCAATAGATTTTGTGTATATTTCAAATTATGTCACTTAACTTTAATCTGTATTTTATTCTCTATATGCTATCTGAGAGTAGAAATTATATCCTGTTTTTCTTTTTTAGTTGTATATATGTGAGGGGTTCACCTGTATCCATTGTGAAAGAATTAACACAATCAAGCTAATTCACACGTCCATCACCTCACAGTTACCTCTGTGTGTGTGTGAGAACACCTAGGATCTACTCTCTTAGCATATTTCAAGAATAAAGTACAGTATTTTTACCTGTAGTCTCCATTAGATCCCCAGAAGTGTTCATCTTGCATAACTGCAACTTTGTACCCCTTGACTAACATCTCCCTCATCAACCCCTCCCACAGCTCGTGGCAACCACCACTTTAATCTCTGCTTCTATGACTTTGACTATTTTAGATTCCACCACATCTAAGTGAGATGATTCAGCATTTGTCTTTCTGTGTCTGGCTTATTTCACTTAGTACAATGTCCTCTAGGTCCATCTATCTTATTGCAAATGGCAGGATTTCCTTCTTTTCAAGGCTGGATAATATTCTACTGTGTGGATATACCACATTTTCCTTAACCATTCATCCATTGAGGGACATTTAGGTTGTTTTCATATCTTGGCTATTGTGATAATGCTGAATAAACACAGGAATGTAGACGAGTCTTTGAGATCCTGGTTTTGTTTCTTTTGGATAAATACCTA